CCTTTTTGAGTGACTTGATATATCTTTCTTTTCTTTTAAACCCTCCTTGACTATGCTTGTTAGAAACCTTACTGCTAAAGAATTTTGTATCTAACTGATATAGCTCTTTGACTTGTCATTCTCTAATGTTCATGTTTAAATGTAAACCAGATTTTGTTTATTTTCAGTATTAATGTTCTATTATTTTCTTGCTCATGCATGTGATTACGTTTTCTTGTTAAGCTCTTACTTTTGAGTAAAAGTTAGTGTGTGTGTGTGTGTTTTCCTTTGAAATTGAAATTAATATGGTCGGTGGAGGGAATTTATGATATATTGCCTTTGCTAACAATTGGTGCAGGCATAGGTAAAACTGTCAAAGAAAAGGTATGTGTGCATACAAGCCGTGACATTCGTGCCATTGCAAGTCAGTTGGTTAGCATTTGGCTTGAAGTTTTCCGTAAAGAAAAGGCTGCTAATGGGGGGCTAAAACTCTCTAAGTCAGTTTCTACTGTGGAATCATTGAAGAGGAAATCTAATAAAGATTCTTCTTCTGGAAAACCTCCTTTGCACTCGAACAACTGCGCGCTGGATAGTAGAGGCAATTTGCCGACTTCTGCATCAGCTGCAATTCCCTCAACGTCTGATGTCAATATGAAAAGTGATAATAGTAAATTGAAATTGGAAATGGAAAATTCATCAAAATCAGATATCAGTTCATCAAGGTCAAGGGGTTCATTTGGAAAGCAGGATGCAGAGATGGAAGACAACAACATTGTGATGACAGAAGAAGAGGAGGCTGCCTTTGCTGCTGCTGAGGCAGCACGTGCAGCAGCACTTGCAGCTGCGAAGGTTGTCTTTTGATTCTCTGCTTATTTAATGCTTTAGTGACTGGGTTAGTAATGAGTCTTCCTTGGTACGAACTTACGACAACAGTTTGTTTTTATGGGCTTGGTTACTTAAACTCATAATATTAAGGGGATGTGCCATCATTAATCATTGCCATGTTATATAATCTTTACTTGGGTGAAATTTTATAATACGTTGGTGTGAATATGGACTAAATGCACCAGCACTAGGTCATAGCTTGTATGATAAAGTTTGGTTGTGATCATAGCATATGTTAGTTTCTATTTCATCAGTGGCAGAAATTTTTGTGTTAGTTTTTGGGAATGGTGTAACTTTTTTACTTTTTCTATGGATGGAATATAACTTTTAATTGATCCCAAAAAGTGACAAGCTTATGTAATATAGGATCTAGAAACTGTATTTAGATAGCCTTGTCATATCTGGCTTCCATTGAATTTGTTGACTAGTTTATAGGAGATTTGTGAATTCCCGATTGCATGTTTTGTCTACATTAAATTTACTTGATGATTTTCACACCACAGGCATATGCATCTTCTGAAGCCAAGAGTGCGATGCAGCTCCCAAAAATCCCCTCCTTTCACAAATTTGCCAGAAGGGAGCATTATGCTCAAATGGATGAGTACGAGTATAAAAGGAAGTTGTCTGGCAGTGTGCTAGGAAGACAAGATTGTACTTCAGAAATAGATTCAAGGAATTGCAGGGTCAGGAACTGGTCTGTGGAATTTTCTGCTGCTTGTGTTAATCTTGAAAGTTCACGAATGTCTGCAGATAACCTTTCGCAAAGAAGCCATTCAAATGAGATTGTTAGCCAATTAAACTTCAGGGAACACTCTGGTGAAAGTGTTCCTATGGATAGTAGTATATACACGAAAGCATGGGTCGATACAGCTGGTAGTGTTGGAATGAAAGATTATCATGCAATTGAGAGATGGCGGACTCAAGCAGCTGCAGCTCATGTAGATGATGAGGAGGATTCAAACACAAATTGGAACAACCCCACTTGGAATAGGGATCAAGTAGCGAATGAGAGCTCAATATCACAAGTGACGATCAGCAAGGAGCCAATAAGAAACCATCAACATGGGGCTGACAGAATTAAGCAGGCTGTAGTTGATTATGTTGCATCACTCTTGATGCCCCTTTACAAAGCAAGGAAAATTGACAAGGATGGATATAAGTCAATTATGAAGAAAAGTGCAACCAAGGTTAGCAATTCATCTTCCCCAGTACATTCTTCCACCCAAATTTGGTTCCTTTTATTTTCGGTGTGTGTGGATTTTTTTTGGGGTGGTGGGAGAGTAAAATGTTTTACATGTTTAACCATGTTTCATTGTAAATCAGGTCATGGAACAAGCCACTGATGCAGAGAAAGGCATGACTGTTTCTGAGTTTCTTGATTTCAAACGTAGGAACAAGGTTTGCCTCCATCTATAACTTCTTTATCTGTTACAGTTTACAAATGCTTTTTTGTACCGCTACCACATGAAACTTCTTTTGTTAAAAGAATATTACTGAACACTTTTTCATTAGGATTTTATTGTAATTCTACTTTAATACGGTTCCCATTGTGCCATTGATGCATACCATTTTTCTTCCTGGTGAGACGTAGTGTATTTTTGTTGTTTCTTTTTGCCCTTTTCATTAGACAGGTCCTTATCTGTTTCCACTTGGTTGCACTTGGATTATGCACTTGCAGATACGTGCCTTTGTAGACAAATTAATAGAGAGGCATATGGCCACGAAGCCAGTGATGAAATCGTGACAGTCCCAAGGATTTGTTGTCATTTCTTGGTCAATAATGAAGTCATGATGGTCCCAAGGATCAAGTGGCTTGATTGGCGAGCTCTCGAGGACACACTTAATGGATTATTCATTTTAGCCTGGGAAGACTCCAAGGTATATGTTGGCATGAAAGATTTCATACCTTGACGCCTGTATTACATTTCCAGCGTACCTTAATTTCTGAAGATGCAATTAAGAAATTTTACATTTCTGCTTGTGTAATCAGTTGTGGAGTTTCATTGATCTACCAAGATTTTGGTTCGTGCTGTCGGATATGATTATAATTGGTCCTGGTGCTAAATGTGATTATGATTGGTATAGAACTTCAGCTCGATTCTGCATAATTCTTTTGGCATGGCTTAAATTTATGCCACCACTCAGGACCACTCCAGGTGTCATTTTCTTGCTCATTCGGGAAGAAAACATCACATTGTACTATAAGGGTATAAGATCAAGCCCTTCAGTTGTACTATAAGGGTATAAGATCAAGCCCATCAGTTCTTAGCGATGGACCTTAGGTTATGGTTCATTTTCTTTTCTTCCTTTTCCCTCTTCACCTGTACAGTTTAGAATTATTTCATTGACGACAATCACACAGTAATTTTCATTTATTTGCAAAAATTTCTCAATCTTTGAGACTGAATACTGTAATTTACCTGTCTTTTCTTTCCATAGATTGACTAAAATATTGTCTTGGTTGAGACATCAAACTGTAGACTGTTATGGGCAGTGCTTCTGTTAATAACTTTGATCAAATAAAATGTTCCTTATGTATAGACAAAGGAGATCGACTGCTTATGCGATTTGGAACACGACAAATGCTATATACGCACTGAGGCATCTGTAAGTGAGTCAACATTTCCTTCCTCTTTCTGTCTCTTGCACTTTTCTTGCCAATTGATTTACTGCTTACAACTTTTGGTTGTTGCTAGGTTTGCCGTGTATGGGTTGTTGCTTCAATGATACCCACAATTAGGTAACTTTCTTTTAGCCTATTTGAGACCCTTCACTTATTGCAGCTGTTGCATATTTGTATATGAGCACCAGAACATCTAAGAATAATGTCATGAATAGAAGTATTATCCAAAGTGAAGCATGTGACCTTGGTATCTGATTTGTGATCGAGTCCATTGTCGATTATTGATAATTCCATTTCAATTGTTCAAATCATGCATTTTTCGGGCTCGTGCCAACACTGCACCTATAGCTTAACTGTAAGAAATTTAAGGTTCGAAGTCCCATCTTTAGTCCTCAACTTTAACTCTGCAAAAGAAAGGGATGAATATAGAAATATGTGCAGTTGTTTTACTTTCTGGTCTTCAGATTTGGTGTTTTATGCAACTGATCTATAAATTTGTCGTGTTTTAGCTCAGTGTTTTGTTTATTTATTGACTTCAATAAGTAGAGTGTGAAAATTTTCAGACGTTTCGGTCGAGAACATCTACATTAACCAGGTAAGGAGTTTTACTAGACAGTCGTTATGCCGAGTAATATTCACCTATGGCATGTACATGTATTTGGTGGTAGGCATAACATTCACATATGGCATGTATTTGGGGGTGATGTTTGAACTGTGAGGAGTAGGAAGTTGTGTAACTGTTCAAACCTACTACTAGTAGATATTGTCATTTTTAGACTTTCTTTTTCAGGCTTCTCCTCACGATTTTTAAAACGCGTTTGTGAGGAAGAAGATTCCAGAATGCTTCGTTCTCCTCCCCAACCGATATGAGATCTCATAGTCCCTTTCTCTAGCAGATGCGTTTTTAAAACCTTGAAGGGAAGTTCGAAAGGGAGAGCTCAAAGAAGATAATATCTGCTAGCGGTGGGCGTGAACCATTTAAAAAGTAGCCATTGTTTGCTTCATTATTGATGATTGAGTTTAATACCCATCAGTTTTTGCCAACTATTCTTACCTGCCCTGATCGTTCAAAAGGAATCCAAAGCTTGGAAAAAGTTCGATAGCTTCGATAGCTTCGATAGCTTCTATTATTTTTAAGCATAACTTAATTTATTTGATTTCATATCTTTAAAATGTAATATTGTAAAAAAGAAAAAAGAGTAATTCCTGTGTTTCATGGAATATATAATTCGTGAATCTTTTGTATTGATAAGGTTTTAAATTCTCACATCTGTGTGTTTTAATTTAATATTTCTAAGTGACGGAATGATTGAGTTGTGATATGTGCAGGCACGTTTTTTTAGGCTTCACTAGCGAGATGTGGGCCTGTTATTGGGCCACGTTTGCATGTTATTTTGATTGCGGCCCACTTTATATTCCTGTTTGGGCCTGTGTGGGCCAGGGGAAGCACAGCTGTAGGACCCGATCGTATTATTCTAAAGCAAATAATTATTCGCGATAGCGTGAGCATTTCAGGCCATTGTAGCGAGGCGACAAAGTTGTGGGCTTATTTGAAGGAGAGGAAGAAGAGAGAGAGAGAGAGTTCGAGATCGGATCTAATCGGCGACCTTCTTCATCTTCATCATCGAACCCAGAAAAGATGTCGTCAACTTTCAGTGGCGATGAAACGGCACCTTTCTTCGGCTTCCTCGGCGCCGCTGCGGCCCTCGTCTTCTCCTGTAATTCATCTTTCATCCAATGCGGTTTAATTTATTGTTTTCTGGGTGTGGATCTTTGATTCATATCGCGATGGGGGGTTTATGTTGGTCTTTTTTTTTTTTGATTAGGTATGGGAGCTGCTTATGGAACGGCGAAGAGCGGGGTGGGAGTTGCGTCTATGGGAGTAATGAGGCCTGAACTGGTGATGAAGTCTATTGTTCCGGTGGTCATGGCTGGAGTTTTGGGTATTTATGGTCTTATTATTGCTGTGATTATTAGTACAGGGATTAACCCCAAGGCCAAATCTTATTACCTTTTCGATGGCTACGCGCATCTCTCCTCTGGGCTTGCTTGTGGCCTTGCTGGTCTGTCCGCTGGCATGGCTATCGGGATCGTCGGCGATGCTGGTGTTAGGTACTATTTGTTAACGTTTTGGAATGTTGATTTTGGCTGTCGTCGAGCGTGTATTTTGACCTATTAGCCTGTTCGCGCTTGTATTCTTGTTATCGATAGATTTCGTTCGTGCACTTCTTGGTTGTTCTGTAAGCTTGTTTCTGCATTTTTCTTAGATTTCTTCCTCAAAGCCTTGGTATATGATTTTGTTGATGTTATTCCATTATGTTCTGTTGGATTGGAGTTTGTATGTTGGATGTGATTTTGATGGATCCATGTCGTGGTGATTTAAATAGCTATAACTTTGTTTTGATATAAGTTTATTCCTGAATTTTGTTTTCTCAAACCCTTCTGGTAAAGGTACTTATTCCTTATATTTAATCTTCTTCGTTGGACAGAGCCAATGCCCAGCAGCCCAAGCTTTTCGTTGGGATGATTCTTATTCTAATTTTTGCTGAAGCACTGGCACTGTATGGACTCATCGTCGGCATTATTCTGTCTTCCCGAGCTGGTCAGTCGAGAGCTGATTAAGTGGAGTTTGTGTAGTGTATGTCCTCTTTTTTTGTCCATCCAGAATTGATTTTGTACTCGTAAATGGGTTGTTGTTATGATTTTTAAGCCTACTCTCCCAAATGTTCTTGTGAGGTGTGATTGCTTGCTGTACCTCACGGACCCTGTAGTAGCGTAGCTAATATGGATTTGGGGATTAATTATTCTTCTCAATAAAAAAATTAAACTCTGTTGCATCAACATTGCTCTAATTTGCCTGAAGCTTCCCTCTAACTTGTTATCTTCAGCATTTCGACTTGCACTATTCTGAATGATGATGAGACTTGCACTATTCTGATTGGATGGTAAACTCTGTTTTTTTTAGTATTACATTGTTTTTATTATTATTATTTTATATAGTTTAGCTAGGAATGCCAATTTACATGTGGGACCTATCCTAAACATGACTAGGAATAGAGACGGTGTGGGGAGGACTTTCTTCCTGTTAACTCTCTAACTCGATCCTCAGTCCTCATAAAAAATGACTTGGACTCCAAAGGAGTTGATTCTTAATTAAGGGGAGGAGTTGGATGATGAAAGTCTCACATTGACTAATTTAGAGAATGATCATAGGTTTATAAGTGAGCATACTAACTTCATTGGTATGAGGGGGGAAGCCCAAAACAAACTCATAAGAGCGTATGTTTAAAGTGGACAATATTATACGCAATGTGGAGAGTCTAACAAAGATATGGAGCATTTTGTGGGATGGGGATTTAGTTTTCGACTTTATAAATATCTCTAGTTTTAACTTTTGTGATCCATTGAAAGCTTATTTATTTTAAATTCAAAAAAGATTATTGATGCCATGTCTTAAAGATATTCGATTAAGATACCCTTTTTGTTATTGAGACAGAGGGTTGAAAATCACAATTTTGCAAGAATGAAGTTAATACTTAACATTAATGTGGGTAGAATGGGATGAAACTATGAGGAAATTTAATTATATTTTCCATAATTAACATGTAGACAGACCGATTAAAGAAATGCAAACCCAATCAGATTTAATTCATACCATTAAAATATTAGGATATACTCATGGTCTACTTGGCAATATTATAAAAAAAACCAAAAACCAAAATTAAATTAGAAAATTTCAATTATAGTAAAATTTGAAGAGAGTGTAAAATGGTTGGGTGGAGGGGGTATTATTTTTCATTATACACACACACTAACTAAAATAGTTGGACAATAATATTATTTATTTAACCTTTTCCTGTTTTAATTTTCTATTAATAAATCAAAATTAAAAGCCTGTATAATGAAACTCTCTATTTTTTATTTTTTATTTAACTTTAAATCCTTCTTTGATTTCAAAGTATGATAAGTGGTTAAGACACGTGTACTTATTTAAAGTCCAACATTTAATATATATCCTCACAATATTGAATTTCTTGGTTAAAAAGGTAAATAATAATTTAAATTATCATTCAATTATTTTAGATAATTCATTTTTGTGAATAATAGATATCCAAATTTTATAAAAAGATTGAAAATTTCCAGACCTATTAAATAAATACTGAATATTGATGGACTAAAATTATAATATAACATTTTGAAAATTGTATTTGCACTAAATAAACATTTTAATAATTATATATATATATATATATATATATATTTATTTATTTTTATTTATATCTAAATTTTATTGTTTTGCCTTTGGTCTCTTTTCGATTATTCCAGATAACGTGGAGAGATATTATAGAATCGAAGCAAAAAAAAAAAAAAAAAAGAGGCGAAAAACAAAAAGTTTGGGTATCTGAAGAAAAAGCAAAATCAGAGAGAGAGAGGGAGAGAAAAAAAAGCTTCAGATCTAATCTGATCGGAGATCTTCTTCTCAGTCGAACTGAAAAAAAAATGTCGTCAACGTTTAGCGGTGATGAAACGGCTCCCTTCTTTGGCTTCCTCGGCGCTGCTGCGGCCCTGGTTTTCTCCTGTAAGAAAATTTCGTTCTACGCAATTGATTCCATATCTCTTTTTATGGATCTTCATTGGATTGGCTGCTATTCTTGTTAATTAGGTATGGGAGCCGCTTACGGCACGGCGAAGAGCGGGGTAGGAGTGGCGTCAATGGGAGTGATGAGGCCGGAATTGGTGATGAAGTCGATTGTTCCGGTGGTTATGGCGGGAGTTTTGGGTATTTATGGTTTGATTATTGCTGTGATTATTAGTACGGGGATTAACCCGAAGGCTAAATCTTATTACCTCTTCGATGGTTACGCCCATCTCTCCTCTGGTCTTGCTTGCGGTCTCGCCGGTCTCTCTGCTGGCATGGCTATCGGCATCGTTGGTGATGCGGGCGTTAGGTACTCCATTTTACGTATTTGAGCTGAAAGGAATTTTAATCTGTTACTCTATAGCATATATTTATAGGTATTGTGGAAACTTCTGTCTGGCTTGATTTTGTTCTTTAGTTAATGTTTTCAATATGATTCTGCTAATTTTTCAACTTGGGTGAAAGTAATCTGATCGAAGATTTGTTATTAGAATCTGTGTCCCAATGTTCAAGTAGAGGCGTACGATTGCTTTTGGAAAGGGATGCCTGTGTTAAGAATGAGTTGAAAAACTAAACATAATTTGAGCTTACAAGTTAGGGACCGTACTTCTAAATCTGATTGAACTGAAGACTTGAAGTTCAAATCTCTACATTTTTGGCTTTGGAGTCTAAGTTCCTGCTTGGTTATTTGCTGCCTCAGATCAATATGAATGGTCGAATGCCTCAAATCCCAAAAAGATTAATGGTATCACTATTGTTTTCAATCCTTTCATATTTGTACAAGCTCCATAACAGCCACGGCCGTAGATATGGTCCTTTTTAGACTTTTCCTTTGAGTTTCCTCTCAAGGTTTTTAAAATGCATCGGTTAGGGAGAGGTTTTCACACCCTTATAAAAAATGCTTCGTTCTCCTCTCCAATCGATGTGGGATCTCACAATCCACCCCCTTCGAGGCCCAGCGTCTTCGCTGGCACTCGTTTCTCTCTCCAATCGATGTGGGATCTCACAATCCACCTGCATTCGGGATCCAGCGTCCTCGCTGGCACACCGCTCGATGTCCAATTGATATGGAATCTCACATCCTCCCTTCGGGACCCAGCGTTCTTCAATCGATGTTAGATCTCACAATCCTCCGATGTGGGATCTCACAGACTCTTTGCAAAACAAGCAACGTTTTGTTTCTTGTTACAGTAACTAGAGAGATTATTCATTTGCGTTCTTGGGTCTGTTTCTCTGAATCAGCCATTTGGGATTGAATTGGGTTGCCCACTTGCTTCCATAGTTTACAACGAATTTGTTTCCAGAAGTTGTTGAAGTGCCTTCTTGTGAATAGTTGTTTCCAACTTGCTAGCTGATGATGTATGCCATTGATATGCAGCTTCAAATCTTCTGGTTAAAAGGAGCAGTTTTGATGCAGAGAGCTGTAGAATATGTAGGCATCTAATCATTGTATTTGTGTTCTGCAGGGCCAATGCACAACAACCAAAGCTTTTTGTTGGGATGATTCTCATTCTAATTTTCGCGGAAGCACTTGCCCTTTATGGACTTATTGTTGGTATTATTCTCTCATCCCGAGCTGGTCAGTCAAGAGCTGATTAAGTGAATGTTTTGCGCTTGGAAATTGTGTATTATGTCTCTTCTTGTTCTTATTTCTTGTTTTTTTGTAGTTCTCTGATTAGAAATGGTCATGACCAAGTCTTTCTTTCTCAAATATTCTTGTTTTTGTTGTGTGATTTCTGTACCACACGGATCCTGTACTCGACAAGGATTTGGAATCAATTATTCTTCTCAATAAACACAAAACATTGTGACTGTTTATTGTTCTGAATGCGAATCTGTTCCTCTAGAGACTGCTAATTTATGCTTCTGAATTTTCTGGTGATACAGTGTAATTAATGGCTAGAAATCTTCGGTATTTGGACTACCATTCCTTGAATGGAAATTACCGGTTTGTAGATTGAATTACATGTTAGAATTATTTCCGTAGGAGTTGTGTTTTGAGCGGTCGGAGAGTGGAACGAATCCTTTCTTATAAGGGTGTGGAACCTTTTTCTAGTATATGCATTTTAAAACCATGAGGCCGGCGGCGATACGTAACAGCCCAAACTAGACAATATCTGCTAGTAATAGGCTTGAGTTGTTTCAAGAGTACGTGCTAATTATCGTTGAACTATGTTTTACCAAAGTTTCAATTATATTGATAGATTTGAACTATGCTCATCTCTTATCTATCGTCTATGATTAACATAATTTTGATGTGTTTTAAGGAATGAAACATGAATTGTTTCTTAATACATTTTTTCAGGTTTTAGCAAAAAAGAAAGGTAATAATTTCATGAATTAAATTATTATTTTTATATACAAAAATGGTCTTTTAAAATGTAATGGTTTAAAGAGCTATTTATTACGCAATAAACTCTGATGACACAAAATAAAAGGTGGAAGAGTTTTTAAGTTTTTTAATATAATTTTTCATAATATATTAAAATTGAATGGTTAATTATCTTAATTTGAAAAGGCATGGAAAGATGTTTTATGTTTAATAATTTTATTTGTATTAAAATAAAATTTAATAAAAATTGAAATAAATGATTTCCATATAATTTATTTTTATAAAGTCGAGTCTTTAATTAAAAATAAAAAGAATAAATTATTTGCACGTTACGTCACTGCGAATGTAAGCGCGCAAAGGGATCTAGCAATCCTCAAGGAGCGGATATAACAAAACTTCCGGATTTCTTATTCTTCCACGCCATTTCTGCAATTAATCACCGCTAATAATTATAATTTTGCAGGAGTGGAAATAACAATTTTTTTTTTAATTAAATAAAAAATGAAACACAAAATCACCAAATATCTATTTTTCTAATTTTTTAATTAATTTGCTTCCTCGCCAAGTCGACGAAGTCATATGGCGGGCTGGTGGACGAACATGGTTCACTATTTATAGGACGGAAACTTGAACGGCAGAAGAATGGTTGAATTTTCATTTCTTGATGACCATAAATCGTCTGCGGATTTCGAGCTCATTTGCGAGGATGGCTGAGGAGATCAGTAAGGCAGAACTCAGAACTGCCACTTCTGCTGCAGAGAAGGCGCAATCGAGATCTCTTTGGCCCTCTGTTCTCCGTTGGATTCCCACGTCGACCGATCATATTATCGCCGCCGAGAAGCGACTTCTCTCTCTTGTCAAGTAATTTCTCTCTCTTCACCTCTCCTAAAACCATAGAGGTCTTTTTGAAAAAGAATTCGATTGATTGTTAATTGGGCGACGTGTTTGGTGTTTGGGGCCAGATTCTGGAGATGGAATTTGTTGGTTACTGGAATAGTCGCTCCGGTTAGAGTTTTAGGCATTTGCGATGTAATTTATCGTGACGTTTTTAAAATTTATTTAGTGAATTGCGACAACATTTCGAAGTTCTTTTTAATTCGAAGGTCATTGGATTTCATGACAACTAGAGAATTCGCATTTCTTTCGTTTAAGGCACGCTTTGGAAACTGGAATCCAAAATTGCTTATCCATGTTATCATTTAAGAGCTTCATTAGGAATAGATATTAATATGATTCGAAGTCTTGTTTTGTGACAATTTTTTGCCTCTTTATTTATGTTATTGGAATTTATGCAATTTCAGAACTCCCTTTGTCCAAGAACGGGTTAACATTGGTTCTGGCCCGCCAGGAACGAAAACTAGGTGGTTTTGTTCTTCGAGTGATGAACCTAGATATATCAACACCGTGACATTCGAAAGCAAAGCTGAGTCTCCGACTCTTGTAATGATTCATGGTTATGCTGCTTCTCAAGGGTTCTTCTTCCGGAATTTTGATGCTCTTGCCAGTCGCTTCCGGGTCATTGCCGTCGATCAACTTGGGTGAGCTCAATCTTCTAAGATAAATCTTTTAATTTGATGTCTAAGTTTTATTTAAATAGGCCATCTGGGGTAATCCATGTTTTATTCCTTCGCTGTGATTTGTGCTCATCGTTTGATAAGCCTTCTATTAAGTACGTATATATGAGAAGGCGCGATGGAGAAGAGTGGGGAAAAAGATGTCATTACAAATTAGTTGGTGTGGGCAGTACGTTCATGTTGATAGGGGGAGGATGTGAGCTCAGAGGGGTATCTTTTTTGCTAATCATTTTGTGAGGTTATCCTGTGGGAGAGAGGGGAAGCTCTAATATTCTTCCATTGACATTGTACCCTTGTTGATAAATAAACTGAGATCCCACATCGGTTGGAGAGGAGAACGAAACATTCCTTTTAAGGGTGCGGAAACCTCTCCCTAGTAGACGCGTTTTAAAACCTTGAGGGAAAGCCCAGAAGTGAAAGCTTAAAGAGGACAATATCTGCTAGCGGTAGGCTTGGGCGGTTACATAAGCTCAGTTCATGTCATCATTTGTTTTTAATGACTCGACTAATATCAGGTTCTCCACCATCAGTACGGCTGTCTTTTTTTTTCCTATAATGAATGAGCAACATAAATGTACTGAAGTTTCTTTACTTGCGTGTTTGTAGGTGGGGAGGGTCTAGCAGGCCCGATTTTACATGCAAAAGCACAGAAGGTTGAGTAAACTTCCATTCGATCTCTTAGTAGTTCTATTATAGCAAGGGGTTTTCCTCTTCTTTTGTTTGGTTTAATAATTATTATGGAAGCTGCGGTAATGCACAATATTATATGGAAGTGAAACAAGCTATGTCTCTTGAACTTCAAACAATTTATGTTCTATTAAGGTTCTGATTCTTATGTTCACGATGCAGAAACTGAAGCATGGTTTATAGATTCTTTTGAGGAGTGGCGAAAAGCAAAAAGCATCAGCAATTTTGTTTTACTTGGACACTCATTTGGTGGATATGTTGCGGCTAAATATGCTCTCAAGGTGATTGCTTTTGCAATTCAATTATAAGAACTAAGCATTTATGATCGCCTTTGTGATTTCTGAGGTCACAGTCATTTTCTTTTTCAGCATCCTGAGCACGTCAAGCACCTAATTTTAGTTGGACCTGCTGGATTTTCTTCGGAGTCGGAGGTGAAGTCTGAGCGGCTTACACAGTTTAGAGCTACTTGGAAAGGAGCGGTTTTGAATCATTTGTGGGAGTCAAATTTTACTCCACAGAAGCTTGTTAGGTATTTTCTACATTTATTTAAGCTTTCGGTTTATTGATTAATTCGACAAAAAAACCTGTTTCTTTACTCTATTGCCATACTTTACTCTTTTCTTTAAGAGTTGGGACTTGGGATCAATTTTTGGCTAGTTCATCCCAAACAAAGTATGACGCACGCCATACTTTACTCTTTTCTTTAAGAGTTGGGACTTGGGATCAATTCTTGGCTAGTTCATCCCAAACAAAGTATGACGCACGCCATATTATAGTTTCTAATAACATCATCTGATCTTATAAACTCAACAGCATGACTTCAGACAATGTTTTTTAACCCATAATTCATTAGACTCTATAAAAGTTTGTCTTTCCATCATTTCATTTTTAGTGTAGTTGGATCGTATATTTTGGTTGAAAAGGTTAAAAGAAAGGGGAAAAATTAGACTCACGTTCTGTGTCATTGCTTAGCTTTTGTTTTTAGCTTTGGTACATTCATAATACTGGACAATTTTTTTTAGCTTGTGCCACTATATAATCTTTTTTTGGCAAATTTAAGTAATGCAAGACTCCTAATCTCCTGTCTCTGCATTTCTTAGAGGTTTGGGCCCTTGGGGTCCAGATCTTGTTCGCAAATATACAAGTTCGAGGTTCGGGACATACTCAATTGGGGACATATTGAATGATGAAGAATCCAGATTGTTATCAGGTAATGGAAGATAAAGAGTTGTATATTTGGCCCCAAAATATGACTTGTTTTGACATTTCCCTTTTTCCAAATGAAGATTATGTATATCATACGTTAGCAGCTAAGGCTAGTGGAGAATTGTGCTTGAAATACATATTTGCATTCGGTGCGTTTGCTCGGATGCCACTTCTACAGAGGTTTGATTACTTTACTTTCTGCCATTTAAAATTGTGTTGTACCTTCTTTGTTTGTTGAAATTATGTGCCGTCCAATTTTACTTTCTGTTCCATTTTTTTTAAAAAATATTATTGTTTTCATGAGAAACAAATATATTATTGATGTGTTGAAATATACCAAAGAAAAAGGGAAACCCGAGTAGGAGAGGGTCACAAAATGATGGCCCCTCTAGCTAGTCAAAAGGTCATTTATGTTAGAAAACACCACTCTCCACAATGATATGATATTGTCCACTTTGAGCATAGTCTCATTGCTTTGCTTTCGGTTTCCCCAACATGCCTTATACCAATGGGATGTATTCCTTACTTAGAAACCCATGATCAACCTCTTAATTAGCCGAGTTAGGAATCCTCTCCCAACAATCCTCAATGACTTAAACCGTAACTAGAAAAGGAGGATAAAAAACATTTACACCAACTTAAAACCATGACATAATCATCATACGAAAAGGCTGAAAACACGTCCCTGTCAGTCTTCCTGTCCCTTTCCTTCCAAAGACACCAAAGGAACGCCTCTCCTCATCCTGTTCCATTATGTTTGTTAGATTTGGTCTTGCTACCTGTCTATTTAGTTTTACAGTGACCACAATAACTTCCTTATGGGTGTCTTTTCCTTTTAATTTTGGGTCTCTCTGTAAGCTTGTGCAAGTAGCTGCATTTTGAACAGTAAACTTATTATGCATCTCTGTCTATGTATAGCACTGTTTCTTTCCATATATTTAGAAGCTGAGAACTCTGGTTTATTATTTTAGAAGAACAATAGCTCTAAGCGAATGCAATTTTCTTATAGTTTAATTTGAAAAACTCTTT